GGGTTAAGAATTTGATTGGCGGAGATATGAGCATCACTGAATCATACCCACCGGCTTCCCGGCGTCTAATCAAGGACGGAGAGGGTCCAGCGACGGTCGAACCGGTTATTATCCAGGACAAGGATATCGAGATCCCGGTTATCGATTTGGAGCGTTTGGACAAGGAGATACTAAAAGAAGCATGCAAGGAGTTGTTGCTTGGAGCGGTTGGATGTACGGAGCTCAAATGGTTGCTTTCAACATGCAGGTTTGTAGTGTATTTTTGGCTTTCTCAAGGCTTTTTAACATACATCGAAATCTCTTACACATAGATGCATCTTGGTTCTCTGATTTGCAGGGTTATGGAAGAGCTCTCTGGATGATGCATGCGATGTTCAAGGCGAATGGTGGATGCGGGTACGTGAAAAAACCGGACTTTATGATGAACAGAGGTCCCGATGTAGAAGTGTTTGACCCCAAAGGGAAATTACCCGTAAAGACAACTTTAAAAGTGAAGGTGTACATGGGAAAAGGATGGGACTCTGGTTTCCAGCAAACATGTTTCAGCACATGGTCTTCTCCTAACTTCTACACAAGGGTAAGCAACTTAACCCATTTTGGAAGACTTGAAATTCTTCGATTTACATGTGTATACTTTGGGACTCTTGGCTCTGTTTCATGTGGATTGTCCTGTTGTGTGAAGCAGGTGGGGATAACAGGAGTAAGATGTGATGAGCTAATGAAGAAAACAAAGAAAGAAGAAAACACTTGGGAGCCTTTATGGGACGAGGAGTTTGAGTTTCAACTTACAGTACACGAGCTTGCGTTGCTTCGAGTTGAAGTTCATGACTATAACATGCGAGAGAAGGATGATTTCTGTGGCCAGACATGTTTGCCTGTTGCAGAGTTGAGACAAGGCGTACGTTCTGTTGCGTTGTATGATCGAAAAGGCCAGAGACTAGTTGCAGTCACACTTCTCATGCGGTTCCAGTTTGTTTAGAAAACAGAGTTTCTTTCTTCTTATTATATCCTCCAAAGAGTTTGTTGTAGAGAAGCTTTTATACGGTAGCTAAAAATCAATGATCACTAAGGGATAAAACAATCGAAATTCATACATATGTATCACGAATCGAATAAGTATGGTTCAACCTTTATTTTACTATTTTGATGAGCTTACATACCCCCAAAAAAAAGAGCGTGGTAGGAACATTAATATGTGTACTGTTACTTATTTGCTTATATATTGTTACCTTGGGGAAAATAAAATCATGATCAATAGTGTATACCTCTGACCAAAAGAGATACCTTGGACCTTTCATATTTTTTATCTTCAACAAGTTTCGTAATGAACATAAACATAACGGTCCTATTGTTCTGATGGAAAAAAGAACCTATGATTAACTTTTGAGGAAATTTAAGCATGCAAGAAATGAAAACTCGAGTTGTTCGTGCTAGTTAGTTTTCTAAGATTAACAAAAACTATAAATAAACAAGGCTCGAAATCTAGTTTTTTGTCAAGCCTTCTAACAACATAAAAAAGGTAGGCAATGCTAAAATCCCTACTTCAAAGAGCAACAAACCCAACCAGTCGTTATCATCGT